CTGCTGGGCTCGGGCTGGCCCCAGGTGGGGAGGACCTGGGTGGTGGCTGCCCGCATCTCACCCCGGCCCCGGCCCCGGCCCTGCAGGCTACCCAAGTACTCCTGCCAGTTCATCGAGATGTGCCTGATGGTGACGGCCGACCATGGGCCCGCCGTGTCCGGGGCCCACAACACCATCATCTGCGCCCGTGCCGGGAAGGACCTGGTCTCCAGCCTCACGTCGGGGCTGCTCACCATTGTAAGGCCCTGCGACGCGGGGACGCGGGCAGGAGGGGCCCTGGATCCGCCCACAGGCTGAGCCACGGCACTGCTCCTCCCAGGGGGATCGCTTCGGGGGTGCCTTGGACGCGGCTGCCAAGATGTTCAGCAAAGCCTTTGACAGCGGCATGATCCCCATGGAGTTCGTGAATAAGATGAAGAAGGAAGGGAAGCTGATCATGGGCATCGGCCACCGCGTGAAGTCGGCAAGTCGGGGATGGGGCATCAGGGACCCAGAGCTGTTGCCTCTGGGCTGCGTACAGGAGCCAGGTACAGGCTCTGCCTCTGCCACGCTGCAGCAGGCCGTGGGGAGTGCACGGGCGATGGCGGCGATGCCAGCTTCCTGACAGGCGGGGAGGTGAAATTTGGGGTTTGGCGGGGGTGCATTGGGGCTGAAACTGGGCTTTTATTTTTATTTATTTATTGTGGAACTGGGGATCAAACTTGGGTCCTTGCGCTTGCGAGGCAGGTGTCGGAACCACTGAAACTTTCACACACAGCCTTTTTTTGAGGTAAGGCCTCAGTGAGTTCCCAGTCTGGGCTCAGACTTGTGAGCCTTGGACCTCAGCGTCCAGGACGAGGATGAAGGGCATCGGCAGGCTCAGAGAACTTTCCCTCAGCGGGGCAGGCCCAACTCCCTGCGCCTGGTAGCTTTTCGCGCCTGCAGGTCGGGCGGAGAGTGGAGTTGAGAGTTGCGGCTCCCTCACTCCTCACTCTGGGCCGCTTGGTTTGATAGCCACAGAAACCTCTTAGCTCCGGGCACGGGTGTGACTCTCGTTGACACAGGGTCACGTGTGCGCTAAGTGGGGTGGCTCGTGCACACCTGTCCTCCCATCGCGCAGGTGGCTGAGGCAGGAGGATTCTGAGTTAGAGGCCAGCCTGGGCTGGACAGTGAACACCTGTCTCCTAGGCCGACAACAAAGCCCAAAGGAAGGTCCTGTGTGTGCTTCAGGACCCCCAGTCAGGCATCCAAAGGCACGACGCGGTGAGGTCAGGGTAGATGTCCAGGCCGCCGGGAGAGGGCGAGGCCTTGGCAGGGGCAGCCGGGAAGGCGGCGGACACTGCACCACCCCAGAGCCAGCACCTCCGCTCTGGAGGCCGAAGGAGATGGCCCCGGGACTGGGGTGCGCTGTGTGCCTGCATCCGCTGCCCCCCAACAGTGGGGTCTTCCCTAGGACTTGGTCCCCGAAGCCTCCCCGGCACCACACACTTGGCCGGGGTCCTGGGCGATGTGGGAGCGGCCGGCGGCTCAGTGGGGTCCTGTAACTTGGCTGATTCCAGATCAACAACCCTGACATGCGGGTGCAGATCCTCAAGGACTACGTGCGGCAGCACTTTCCCGCCACGCCGCTGCTGGACTACGCCCTGCAGGTGGAGAAGATCACTACCTCCAAGGTACTGCCCACGCCTGGCAGCTCGGGGCCTGCAGTGGTGGGCAGGGGCTGCCAGTGGGACTTCCTGTTCCTGAGCTGAGCCGGCAGCTGCGGAGCCCTGTGCCACATGCAGGGTTGCAGTCAGCTGGGTGGGAGTGTTTTGAATGTAGTCACAAGAAATAGCAGGGCATGGGGTGCATGCCGAGATCCTAGCCCTCGGAGGCTGAGGCAGAAGGATTAGGAACACGAAATACTTCAAAGAACAAAAAGTGAAATGGTGGCTGGGTGTGGTGGTGGCTGGCGCATGCCTGTAATCCCAGCGCTCAGGAGGCTGAGGCAGGAGGATGGCTGTGAGTTCGAGACCAGCCTGGGCTACATAGTGAGTTCCAGGTCAGTCTCAACTGCGTAGTGAGACCCTGTCTCAAAAAATCACCTAAAAAAAAAAAAAAAAAAAAAAAAAAAAGAGCTTTGAATCCCCTGCTTTCCCAGAAGCCAAATCTGATCCTGAATGTCGACGGCCTCATCGGGGTGGCGTTTGTGGACATGCTCAGGAACTGCGGCTCCTTCACTCGGTGAGCCCACACTGCCCCTTCCCCAGCAAAGTAGCCTGGGGTTCTCGAATCCACAGGACCTGGGCGCTGGGCCTTTGCACCCCTAGGCTCCCCATGGAAGAGCCGAGCCGCCCCAGTCCTTGCACCCAGAGCTGGGCTCCATGAACCTGGCGCCCCCTGCTGGAGGGAGGCCGCTCCAGCCGCTCTGTGTTGCAGGGAGGAGGCTGACGAGTACATCGACATCGGGGCCCTCAATGGCATCTTCGTGCTGGGCCGAAGCATGGGCTTCATAGGTAGGTCCCCCGCCCGCCTGGGCCCAGCCTGCCCTCCTGTGTCCCAGCTTACCTTTACCTGGTCCCTACGTGGGGACCGACTTCACGGCAGGCCCAGGGAATGGAGGGACATCTGGGTTCCTTCTGCCAAGTCTGGACCAAGCTAGACGTCCTGCCCACTTCTCTGTCTGTTTTATCTTTTTTTCCCTTCTAAGATGGGGTCTCGCTGTGTAGCCCAAGCGGGCCTCAGACACAGGGCAGTCCTCCTGCCTCAGCCTCCTGGGTGCTGGCGTGACAAGCGCCCCATCCTGCTGGCTCCCTTGCATATACAAGGCGGACCCCTCTCCCTCCCTCGTCCCCTGCCCCGAGCCACTGCACAGCCCTGAAGCAGAGCCGCCCCCATTTCAGGGCACTACCTGGATCAGAAGAGGCTGAAGCAGGGGTTGTACCGACACCCGTGGGATGACATCTCCTACGTCCTTCCGGAACACATGAGCATGTAGCCGCACGAGCCTCGGCTAAGCCCAGACTCCTGGAAACAGCGTGAAGACGGCGGTGGCTGTGAGGCGGGACCCATACCGGCACCCATGTGGTCCGCTCAGAGCAGCTCAGTCTCTTTTTTGTAAGCGTAGATGTTAAAATCAAGCCTGAATGTGTGACGTTTGCTCTGCCCCTGCTGTATTTATTGTAGGGAGGTGTGGACCCAAGCTTTGTTCCTCCTCCTCCTCCTCCTCCTCCTCCTCCTCCCAGGGCGTTAGAATGTCGCTTCCTTTTTTCTGTCTGTGAAATGTTTTCCCCTCGGTGGAGGAAGGGAATGGAAGGTTCACACTCCAAGATACGACACAGAAAGTACCCGATGTCCTGTGTTTTCACTGTGCTTTCTTCCTTCTGATCTAACATGAAGAATATAGTATCACTCTCACTTTTAAGGACCTTCCTGTATGTTACGTGTTTTGGATTTACTCAGCATCCCACCGACGTATTCAGAGCAGAATCTGCTGCTGTCAGGTGGGCGGGACCATGGCACCCTCAGCCGCTGCACAACTCGGAGGAGTAGTTTGAGATGTAAAGTTGTCACGCACCACGCCTAGACGGAAGTGCAGCGCAGAAAGCTGTGAATCGTCCTGTAGGTCGTCTTGCTGCGGCTGGCCGGCCTGTGACTGAATGAGACACAGGTCCCAGGGCTCCTCCCAGCCTCCCTGCTGCTGCAACCCAGAGATGGGCCGCTGCACCTCCATCCTCTGTATTATCATAGTTTGGTTTAAATAAACTGTATAGTAACAGGACGCCCACTGCAGTCTCTGTCATCTGTGCATGTGCCTCTGAGTTATGCTTTCTGAGAGTTTGAGTACAGGTCGTTTTTAAAATGCTCGTCCGTCTCTTGAAAACACATTGAAAAAACAGAAAAGCCCAGCGTCTCCTCAATCTCGGCTCCCCTTTTCGTGGGGAACAGTGCCCAGCGTCCACCCCTGTGCCCTGACGGGAAGTGGATTATCACCCGGGCCTCTGCTGTCTGTTACAAGGCCTGGTGACCCCTTCTCCACGTGGACCGGGTGGTGTTTTAAAAGCACTGGAAATAGAGCTACTCTCGCTTAAACCCCGAAATTGGGGGCCGGGGTTTGGCTCAGTGGTTTCCACACCTGGCTCCCAAGCGCGAGGTTCTGAGCCCCATCCAAGTGGGTTTTCAGTACCGTCTTGTTAACACTTAGAAAGCTGTGCTTTGAACCTCACCCCAGGCAGAACGCTCTGCCCTGCATAGGCTCACTCAGTCCTAGCAGGTCATCTCCGTAGATGACCTCGTTTTGTTGTGTTTTGGTGTCTGCGTTTTAAGTTTCTCAAACCCTCATCCACTTGGCTGGGGCTCAGTCTTTCTTTTTATAAGAAGACTTTCTTTAAGGCCGTTTTATTTCTTGTGCTGGGAATCGAAGTCCAAAGATTTTTTTTGAGACAGGGACTTGGCCTCGAACTCGCAGTGATCCTCCCGCTTCAGCCTCCCGAGTGCTGGAATTACAGGCGTGCGCCACCACGCCCGGTGTTCCAAAGGTGTCGTAAGTAGAAAACGCACATCACTTCCGAACAATGGGTGAGCAAAGGACGGCCTGAACTTCAGTCGGCGCGAACACCTTGCTCGGCGGATGGAAGGGAAGGCGCCGACCTCTGGCCGACTGACAGCGCGGCGCGGGGACGCATGCGTGGCTCCTGCGCCC